AAATCAATCACAACAAGGCTCATTTAGCTAGTCAATTGATCAATGCGATCATTCCCGGTAATTGCACAATTAAACTTCAAATTGATCACGCCTCGCCTAAATCAAATCCTGTCGTGGCCAGCCACTATACCGCAATGTCTAGGCCAATAAATATCTTCAAAATGCCCCATTAAACTCCCCAAACCATCATTCTAATCAGCCACCACAAAGATCAAATGAGGCGCGCACTAAAATCCATATTTAAACCCCGAACTTACTCCAAACTTGGACCACTCCGAACCAATCTGTCCAGCCATCTCACAGCACCTCGCGGGTCACTAAATCTCAACTAAATTGTCGCACTAAGCCCGTAAAATAGCCACCAAGACAGCCACCATTCGGTCTCCCAATTTCACCCGCTAAATCCACAATTCCGTCCAAATCACGGCACCTATGCCTCGCCACATCACAGCACACTATAGTCCACTAAACTTCAATTAAATCATCATTCTCGGTCACCAAACGGGCCACAAAAATCAGCCCATAGCGGCCTCCACTCGGTCCTCAATTTGCACCCGCCAAATTCACATTTTCGCCCAAATTAAGGCGCCTATGCCCAGCCGACTCACAGCACAATACGGGCCTCTAAATCTCAATTAAATCATCACACTAAGCCTCGAAATCAGCCACCATATCAGCCTCTAACAACCTCCACAATTTAACCCCTAAAATACCCTAATTAACCCCTAAAACCCATCTAGAAATGCAAATTGTCCTAATTAGGGCTTAGGGTCAAACTCACCGGATGTCCTAAGCTTCAAACCGAGCTGAACACGTGGTAATGGCGGCTGGACAGCGGCGGTCCCTCGTCGGAACAGTAACGGCGGCGGCGGCTCCGGCGAACGGCGCGAGCGGCGGCGACGGTCTAAGCTAATCCACGGCCTAGAGAGGGAGAGAGAGGGGCGCGGTCAGAGATAGAGAGAGAAATGGAACGGCTGGACGGCCGGGCGAGGCGACGGATCCGCGCCGGAACAGTGACGGCGGCGCGCGGAGCTCCTCCGGCTCAAGGCCTCTCACGGCCAAACCGAGAGAGAGAGAGAGAAAGGGGAGGGAAGGGGGCTTGCCGGTTGTTTGTGGTGGAACACGGCGGCGGCACGGCAAGCACCGGAGGCGGCGACGGCGACGGGGGCCGGCCGGCGGCCGGCGAACAATGGCGGCCTCGGGCGCGAAAGGCAGCAATGCGGCTCAGCTCTGCCTTTGCGCGCGAGTGAGGAGGAGAAGGCGAGAGTCGGGCGGCGGGCTGGCGGACGGCGCGGGCGTGGCGGTCGAGCTGGCCGGCGACGGCGAAGCACGCGGCGGTCCGGCGAGCCCAGGCGGTCGGCGAGCTGGGCAAAGGTGAAGCAGACCCAGTCGGCCGGCGAGCTGGGCAAAGGTGAAGCAGACCCAATCGGCCGGGAGGAGGAGAGAGAGTGGGGGCTTCTATGGTGGCGGCGACGAGTGCCGGCAAGCGGTCGGGCGACGCGCGGTGGCGACGAGCGGCTGGCGACGAGCGGACGGCGTCGGGCGGAGCGGAGTCCGACGCGACTCGTCGGGGAGGAAGAAGACCGAAGCGAGAAAATAAGAAAGGAAGAAGAAAGAGAAGAAGAAGGAAGAAGAAGAGAGAGAGGAGAGAGGGTGTCAGAGGAGGGGGGGAGAATGGGCGTGAGTGGACTTCTGCAGGGGGGTTGCGTGCGGCAGAGAGGAGAGAAGAGAGAGAGAGAGAGAGAGAGAGAGAGAGAAAGAGTGAGAGGGAACGTGCGCGGTCAGAAGGGGGGGAGCGTGTGCGCGAAGGAGAGAGGGAGAGGGAGAGAGAGAGGAGAGAAATAAAAGAAAACAAACTTCATTCAAATATTAAATGCGATCTGATGGCCCAAATTAAAAACCGAAAATGTTCTACCGATCCAAAATAAGCCTCGCACATAAAAAGAGACAAAGGCCAAATTAATTAGACCAAATTATAACGAGGGAGGCCTACTAGTCCAAATTCGCACGTGGTCAAAAACTCCCATTTTTCCATCATTCCTGACAATCTCAACGTTGGCTACCATAATATTGACACCGTCCAATTTATTTTGTCCCGAAACTCCCGGAAATCGACTGCCAAGTTCGGGGTCCAAATAACGGCCAAATTTGATCGAGTGCGATTCTAGCGAAATCTCTAATTTAAAATGATAACCGGGAGTGATCAGTTCCCGGGCGAGATTTTACTATAAGCACACTGACAAATTACGTGTTTTATAAATCCCAAAAATGGGCCGAAATTCGGGATGTCACACCGCCGGTCGCCGGCCTCCCGCCGCCGCCGCGGTCGGCCGCCGCCCGCCGGCCGCCCGGCCGCCGCCGCCGCCGGCCGCCGCCGCCGCGCCGGCCGCCACCCTGGTCGCCGGCCTCACGCCGGTCGCCCCGCACCCGCCGGCCGCCGCCGCGGGTCGCCGGCCTCCCGCCCGCAGCTTGGCAGGCCGGCCGCCGCCGCCGCCGGTCGCCGGTCTCCGCAGCCGGTCGCCGCCGGTCGCCCGGCCGCCGCCATGTCGCCGGCCGCCTAGCCAGCGAAGTCGCCGACGCCGCCGGACGTTGGGCCGTCGGTCGCCGGCCGTCGCCGCCGCCGTCAGCCGCCGGGCTGGACGCCGGACGTTGGCCGTCGGTCGCGGCCGTCTGTCGCCTGCGCCGGTCGCCGCCGCTGCCGGGCGTAGGGCGTTGGCGTTAATGGCCGGTCGCCGGCCCCGCCGCCCGGACGTCGGACGTTGGCCGTCGATGCGCCGGCCGCCAGCCGCAGTCGCGCGCCCGCCTCGGCTAGCGGCCTGCGGCCGCCCGCCGCCGCCGGGTCGCCGGCCGTCGCCAGCGGTCGCCGGCTACGCCGCCGCCGATCGCGGCCGCCGCGGATGCTCTGGACGACCAGCGTTGGCCGTGGATCGCGCCGTCGCCTTGCCTGGGACGCCGGACGTTGGCCGTCGGTTGCCGCCGGCCGGGCGGCCCCCGTCGCCGCTGGCTGCCGCCGTACGTTGGCCGTCGGTGCCGCCGGCCGCACCGCCCGCGCGTCGCCGCCGCCCGGTCCCCGCCGCACCGCCGCCGTCGCAGCCGCCCGGTCCCGCGCCGGTCCCCGCCGCCGGACGCCGCCCGCCGCCGGTTGCCGGCGAAAAATATTTTCCGAAACTTTTTCATATCGCCCCCGCCGCCGCCGGACGCCGGACGTTGGCCGTCGGTCGCCGGCGGCCACCGCCGCGCCCCGAACGCCGGACGTTGGCCGTCGGTCGCCGGTCCCGCCGCTGCCGCCGCCGCCGCCTGCCGGTCCCGGCGCGGTCCTCCGCCGGTCGCCGCCGCGGTCGCCGGTCGCCGCCGCAGTCGCGCCGCCGCCGGACGCCGCCCGCCGCCGGTCGTCGGCGAAAAATATTTCCCGAAACTTTTTCATATTGATCGCCGAACACTGGAAAATTATGCTCCGGGAAAACATTTTCCAGGAAAATGACTTCCGGAAAAATATTTTCCAAAAGGAGAATATTTTCCGCCAAACGAACGGAGCCTTAAGTGATTGTTTTTCCTCCGATTTGGCACTGAAGTGATCCAAAAAAAACTTATGGCACCAAAGTGAGCGCCGTACACAACTTATGACACTTATAGTGTCCTTTTGCCGATAAAGAACTGAATGGAATGAAATACTGATTCCAATACCTTTTTTTCCGTGAATGTGGGAATTGAGTGGAATTGATGTTATTGTGTTTGGTTGTGAGAACAAGTTTGGTGGGAATGGAATGGGTTGGAAGGAGAATTTTCTAAAAAATTTAATTTGCACTCATGCATTAATTACATTATAAATAATATAAATATGATTTAATTATAAAATAAAAAATATATACCCATATCATCTTAAAATAAATGGATAAGTGCATTTGAAGTCTTAAAACTTGTCACGAAAATACAATCGAGTCCTAAAACTTTCAAAAAGTGCAATCGAGTCTTAAAACTTGTCAAATTGATCAAATCAAATCATTTTGTTGAATTGCACTTTTTAAAATTTTTAGGACTAGATTGCACTTTCGTAACAAAATTTAGGACTTGATTGCACTTTTTGAAAGTTTTAAGACTTGATTGCACTTTCGTGACAAATTTTAGGACTACATTGCACTTTTTGAAAGTTTTAGGACTCAATTGTACTTTCGTGACAAGTTTAAGGATTTGCAGTGCACTTATCCCTAAAACAAAAATTAGCACATTAAAAGATAATACTTAAATAATATTAATAATTTTACTCGAAGTTCCAATTATATCTCACAGTATATAATGACAATGAAAGTGGCATGAGAAGAAGCCCAAAAGAGAGTTCGGGCCCATTCTTAGAGACTCTCCGTCTCTATCTTTGTTAATCAAATTGAAGATTTGCCTCCACTCAAGAATATGACATTGGCCAACCAAAAGGACAGAGGTTAAGAATATGAAACTCATCAGAGGAACTTGAGAATGGGACGTATTACTAGTTCAATTCAATGCAAGCGCCAAGTTGCTTTGTTTAGAGCTAACTTGGGTACCAAGTTGTTTTACAATTTCTTTTACCACATGGCAATTTGACATTTATCAGTAAATGCAAAACAAAAAAAAAGAAATAATTAAAAGAAAACCTCAGATTAACCCACTTTTAAATGCCAATTAGTACACGGTCTAGAGCTTTGATTAGTGAATAAAAGCAGCAATCCAATGGATGCCACGCCATTATCATCTCATAATGTAGGAAAACGAATACATGAACCAGTAAGCAACTTCAACAAGGAAATATCGAGATTGACATTTGAAGTCCAAGTTATTGAGAGCAGAGAAAGCCAAACGAAACTGAAATTACAGAGTTTCGGATCAGAGCTCATGACCCATAACTATGGTAAAAAGCAGCAACAAAGGACACTAACACGCGTACTCCGTGCTCGTGTGATGGCACTGATCAAATTAGCCGAGGCTGAAATTTGAAGAGAAACACCACAAGGCATGAGGCTGTAGTTTCAAGAAAGATTCTGGGGCAACCAATACTGATCCTTGCTTAGAGTGTAAGAACGGATGACCCTGACGTGCCTGACCAAATTGAGATCTTCACTGTTCTTACGGAGCCGATCGATAAACTCCCCATTCATGTCGTACAGAAGCAGTTCTTGGAGATTAGTTAGCATTTTTATACCAAAGGGAAGCGTATCCAATTTCTCGCACTTGCGAAATGTCAACTTTTCAAGAGCAGGCATTGCATTGACCTGCACATCCACAATGCTCAGCTCGCTGAATTGTTCAATCTGAAGCATCTTCAGTTTCCTGAACGTGTTCGCCTTGAATTCTAGTGTTTGCCCCGTAAAAGCATCGACCATATTGAGATCCATCAGATTAGGCAAGTCTTGAAGAGCTTGAAGCGGATTGATGTTTGATCTCGACCACTTTAGGCAGACTTTGATGAGACTCTCCAGTGAAGAAACCCACTTGGGTAACTTTTGCAGTTGCCCTTTTAAGTAAAGGTGCCGAAGAAACACAAACCCGGGCTTGATCTGAATATGATCCAATTCAAGATGGTCCCCTGATTCTGCCCTTAGATCAAGTGTCGAGAGATGCTCCATTTTCTGGATGGACTCACAGACTTTTCTCCCATCCTTGCTCTTCAAATTTATGAGTCCGAGCTTCCTTAGATGGATCATACCATCCAATTTCTCAATAAGCTCAGTTGTAGCCATTACGAGGGACAACTTCTGTATGTTAGATAAGGCCCCTCTTCCACTGAGCATCTCTACGCCCTTTGCACCATCAAAAGTCATGTAGTTCTTCACGTCATATCTATAAACAAGCAGATGACACAAACGGTGCAACTGAAAAATGCTCCCTGGAAGCCGCGTGACTCTTGTTTGTTGAGGTCCAAGGTTTCGAGGAAGGCAAGCTTCTCTATGAACTTGGGAACTGTCTTGATATTTGTCTCTTGAAAACTCAGGTACTTTAGAAGCACAAGTTCTTTAACACCGTTGGGGAAATCCTCCAGCGGAGCGCCTTGCATATCTAAAATCCTTAACAACTGGAAAAACTTTAAGCTCGGAAACTTTCCTCGCCCGAGCATGAAAGCAGACCGAACGTGTCTTAATGTTTGACTAAGTTCAACATTTGTGCGGATATCTGTTTGAGCAGATAGGCGCCGGATTCTTCCCTGTGACGATGAGCTTCTTTCCGATGCAGATCCGACAAAGTTCTCTTCCTCAGCCTTGTCAATGATGAATTCGTGAACAATATTCAGGACACGGCAACTTCTCACCCGTCCTTCGATATCCTTCGCTGTCACATCAACCAGATTCCTCTGAACGAGCTCATTAAGATAATTCTCTGCAGTTTCCTCCAGAGATGTGTTCCTCGCTTCCTTCACGAATCCTTCAGCTATCCATAGGCGAATCAATCTTTGCCGCTGAATCGAATAGTCCTCAGGAAAAATACTGAAGTACAAAAAGCAGCTTCTTAGATTGCTCGGGAGGTACTTGTAACTTGGCAACAGAATACTCCCAATAACAGGAAGATTGGCTCCGAGGCTGTCGTGCAATTTCTTCCATTCATGTGGAATTTGCCCCTTCTTTGACAGAAGGTTGCCCGCTGCTATGACTGCAAAGGGAAGCCCTTCACACTTCTTAATTATTTTCTCGGACCAATCCTCCAACTCGGGGGGGCAAATCCCATTGCGGCTCCAGAAAGCCTTCTTACCAAATAAATTAAATGCTTCTTTCCATGGTAAACCATTCAGTTGGTGGACATAGTTGGGGTATCCGACACAAGACTCGCCAACGCCACTGTTGCGAGAAGTGATCAATATTCTACTTCCGCTGGAACCAATCTGTAATTCATTTACAATCTTTTCCCAATCTTGCATTCTCCATATATCGTCCAGAACAACAATGAACCGTTTCTGCTGCATATATTTACTGAAAATTTCTCTAACGGCGACTCCTTTTATGAGAACTGACCCATCCATCCCAGGAAAGAATTGTGTCAATATGCTCCATAAAATCTCCTCGCGCTTAAAGGAAGGAGAGACACGCAACCAAGCATGGAAGTCGAAATGCCCCTGAACTCTCTTGCACTCAAAAACCTGCTTAGCGAGAACAGTTTTACCCGAACCAGGAGGGCCCGCAATGGAAATTGTGGAAAGCTTGGGTTCTCCGGATAGCAACTGATCACGAATGCATTCCACATGGCCTTCGAAACCCACGATATCATCTTCTTCAACAACTCGGTGGGCCAAATGATCTTCAGACCCAACACCAGAGGTCCCGCTTTCTCCAGAAGTAGTATTTCCAGTGCGGAGAGGTTCAAGATATCCAAAATTTTGGATTTTAGTTCTAATTTTTTTGATCCTGGAAGACATTTTATGAAGGACTACCCTTTGCTGGGGAAAATGAGTAGCCCCGTGTGCAAATTTCGTGATCATGTGCGTATGCACATGGTGCGGCACGTGGAACATGAAGTCATCAAAAGCATCCTCAATATCATATGCCAAATCTCGAATTTGGTGTACCTTGTCCTGATGACCCTCGTTGCCTTGAGTTCCTTCTTGGTCCCTCAGGAAAGCTCGCATGGTCTTCAACCATCTCATGATGCAATCAATATCCTCCTTGACATCTTTTTTCCGGTTGATCTCTTCGAGGATTAAGGAGGAGACTATCTCCACCAATCTCAGCGTTGCTTCAACAGCTAGGCTAGCCATTTTCGCTCCCAAACACCACGAAGGAGAAAAGGAAACCTTTCAACTGTACAAACTGTTAGCCTCCGTAAGGCACTTGTCTTATGCAGGAATCTTTCGAAGACTTTGACTTATAAATAACAAATACGGGTGGGAAGAGTTCAAGCAAAATTGAATTCAGTTCTAACCTATTGAAAAGTCTACGGTGAAAACAGGCACTTTCAGGGAAATTTATTGGCTGACAGCTTCATTGAGGTAATGAATTGGTCAGAGTTCTAGAAGTTGTGAAAGATTCTTTCCTCAAGTTGCATTGTGCCACAGACAGCTTAGCAAGAGCAAAGAGGCCTACTATCTCCACCAATCACGGTGTTGCTTCAACATCTAGGCAAGCCGTTTTCGCTCGCCAACACCATGAAGGAGAAAAGGAAACCTTTCAAGACAGTGAGCCTCCATAAGGCACTTGTCTCATGCAGGAATCTTTCGAAGACTTTGATTTATAAGTAACATATACGGGTTGGAAGAAGTTCGAGAGAAAATAAATTCAGTTCTAACCAATTGAAAAGTGTACGGTGACAACAGACACTTCCAGGGAAATTTATTTGGTTGACTGCGTCATTGAGGTGATGAACTGGTCAGACTTCTAGAAGTTGTGAAAGATTCTTTCCTTATGCTACAGACAGCTTAGCAAGAACCAAGAAACCTTTACTGCACACTAGCTGTTCCGTCTCTCGTATCCCACATAATCCCAATTTCTTGGATGCAAAAATTATTTGCAGACTCAGACATGGCTATTAAATATTGATTAATGCAGAAAGGAGGCGATCAGGACGACCAAGATGCCGATCATTCACGAAGAGCAGATTCCTTCGACGGTCCCATTTGCTATGTACTCGTGTGCAGATAGTCTACTCGCATCAATTAACCCAAAACTGAAACAGTAAATAAACACTGTAGGCTCTGTTGATCTCGGCATTGTTAGCACAAGCCTAAAACTTCTACACAAGAATGTTGTCCTGGGACCAAAATGGTCACAGCTAATCACCCTCGAAAATGTTTTCCTAGTCAACGAAAAATATTTTCTTACAAAAGCTTAAATTTAGGAAAATGATTTTCTTTTTTAAAGATATGGAAAATGTTTTCCAAAATATGACTAAGTATCGGTGTTTGTATCGAAACTTTACGCTTGGGCACAGAAACCATAACGTTGCTTCCTGGGTCCCGGCGTTCAAGACCAGGTCTCCGGCGGCCAGGCCGGAGCCCCTGGTGCCCACACTCGGGTCCATTGAGGCCGAGCCCAAACTCCTAATGCTTGTATCCGATGCTCCGACACCCGAACTTGGGTCCATAAAGGCCGTGCTCAGGTCCCTGACGCTCGAGCTCTAGTCCCGAGCCTCAAGCCTAGGTCCACAAAGGTCATGCGCGGGTCCTCAGTGCTCGAGTTCAGGTCCTTGATTAATGAAACTTTTAAATATTTTTAATTTTTTCTTTTCCTTTCTTTTCTTCCTTTTTCTTTTTGCTTCTTCTTCGGCCAGTTGCTGGCCACGATGATGGGCGGCGAGTTTGGCCCTCGCCAGATTAGGCAAGCTCACGGCCTCTGGCAGCGAGGCTTGAGCCTCGCTAGATCGAGCGAGCTCAGGGCCTTTGCGAGGTTCTTGCTTGCTCGAGGTCAGCAAGCTCGGACCTAGCCAGATTGGATGAGCTCACGGCCTCTGGCGGCGAGGTTCAAGGTCGTCGACCTCGGGTGAGGCTTGAGCTCACTTGTGGTCGCGAGGTCAACAACTGGCCAAGGAAGAAGCAAAACAAAAAAAAAAATTAAAAAATACGAAATTTTTGATAATTTTTCCCATCAGATTTTCCTTACCAAACGACTGAAAATACTTTCAAAATCATTTTCAGGTTTCAGCCAAACACTGGAATGAAAATATTTTCCAGAAATTGTGCATTTTCTGCAAAACAAATGGACCCTTAAATCATTGACATATTTCCCATATATGATTATTAGCTATTATTTTAGGGTTTAAACCACGATTTTAGTGACAGAGTCAATCTTATTATAATGGGCCTTGTTAGGATAATAGTATTTGGGTCACTATGAGAGTAATAACATATTGCGAGTTACGAATACTTGAACGAATGAACCACACAACAATTTACAATTATTTATTATTTATTTTTTTATAGTCCATAATAGACTTGGTAGCATAATAGTATTTGGGCCACTATGAAAGCAACAACATGTTGCGAGTCACAAATTATAGTCCAGATCCGGCGAGGTCGGGCCTCGCCCGACCATGGCAAGGCTCGCCCTCGCCGCAGCCTCCGGCGAGGGCTCGAGCCTCGCCATGGTCGGGCAAGGCCCGACCTCCTCGCCGGACCAAGGCGAGGCTCGCCCTCACCGCTGCCTCCGGGGAGGGCTCGAGCCTCGCCATGGTTGGGTGAGGCCCGACCTCGCCAGATCTGGCGAGGCCGCCCTCGCCAGTGGCCGACGAGCTCTGGCCAGTCGCTGGTCCGGCGACCGGCCAGAGGAAGGAAGTGACCAAAAAAAAAAGTGGAAAAAAAAGAATAAAAAGGAAAAAATATAAAAATTAAAAAAAATTAAAATATTATTAAAGTTGTCCACATCGGCGCCGGTGACCGGCCGCCGGCCGGCAGGCGTCCACGTCAGCAAATTCCGGTCAAAATTGACCGGAACGACTAAATTGGCGCAAAAACAAAATGTTTAAGACTGAATTGGCACAAAAAAAAGGTTTAGGACTAAATTGGCACCAATGCAAAAGGTTTAGGACTAAATTGGCACTAATGCGAAAGGTTTAGAACTTTTCCCGTCATTATTGATTTGGTGAAGGGCCATAAATAGGCAGGGCAATTTTGTAAGATTAGCTTTGCGCACCTCCTCCCTCATCCTCTCTCATTGCAATAACCTGAATAGTCCCACTCTGTGAACCGTGCCTTCTCAGCCAAGCGCAGGCCTGGTTCCTCAGCCAGCTTCTCTATTTCCCACTTGTCGAACGGATGAGCTGTCTTATGGGTCACATGAACCTCACCGTCCTTCGTTAGCATCAGCTTGGCGCATTTCAGAAACCCTCTCACCGGTTCCCGGTAGCGCCTGAAATATTAACCCTTCGTCGCATTAATTTATTTATGTGATCTATAAATCAGTATAGACCAATGTAGGTTGGTCCAAATCGTCTTGTTTGATTAACTTCACTATCGAACATAGAACATGCGTGCTTACTCAATTTGGAACTTGAATGCTCCCGACCGCAAAATTTAGCGTGCGGGAAATTGGAGACAATTCGGTCGGAAGGTTTGTTTTTGTGAATTGGGCGTTGGGTCATGGCATGGACGTCTACTCCATGCAGGACAGCGGACCCGGACCATCCAATTGGTCCAAATTACTGCCCGCTCTACTGAACAACATCTTCAAGTACTCCGTTCGACCAATTCATATGCAAATTAAAAAGAAAAGATTGTACAAATACAAAATTTAAGTTAAACCGGTCAAGTCTATGACCGACGAAAAATGTTTCATGTAGAAAAAGAAAAGTTTCTATAACGTGAAACAATCTTCTATTCCGCCCGATGGAAGAGAATATCTTTGTGTGGGACTATGTCTTTCTACTAAGTTGCAACAGAGCATATTTCTTCTAGAACATGATTGATCGGAATATATCAAGACAAGCACATATCAGGTACCTCTAGATTGACAAGGAAATTTTGTGCATACACGAGTCATTTATACCATTTCTGGTGTCATCGTTAGTTGTTGAAGGTAACCCTAGTCCCTGAACAGACGACAGAACACTGGGATCAATGGAATTGTAGTTATGTGTCTCCTAGTTTTCTTCTTAGGGTTTCTGGGTCAGGGTTCATTTAACAAGAGCATTACAAACCCCTTCTCGTCGGAAAAATTTCATTGAAACTACGTACATTTGGCTCGAGCATGCATGAAAAAGTACGTCATTGTCGAAACAAGTGTAAAAAAGTACTCCATTCCTAGCTAGATTGCAAAATTAAAGCTTTCTTTTAAGCACTGCTGGAGATAACTGCTTAGAACTACACTAAATATACAACCAGGTGATCATTTGGGTCGAGCATGCTCAACATGATCGGCTGAGCTCAAGTTAAGCAGAGCATGGCGCAATGCATTCCGTGATCATTTTGCTAAACTTGTGAGTAGATGCTTCTCCAATTGGGAAAGTACCATGACACTTTGCGCCTAGGCCTCTCCGATTGACTTACCCTCGATAATCTCACACGGAGAACGGCACTTTGTCGACCAAAAACATGCCTTGTTTTGACGCAGCGTTCCGCGAATAATTCAAGCAAAACCTTGCTTAGAGAGAAAAATCTCGAAATTCAATATTGATGATAAGAATGTTCTGTCTTCAAAACAACCCTAAACACCCTTTTATAGGGGTTAAACCTAATTACAATAGGAAACCTAATCATAATAGGAAAGTTACCTAATATAAATTGGAAAGCGTAAAACATCAAAATTAGAAAACTGCCTTTTTAAATTAACTCATAAAAAATATCCGATGTCGTCGATCGGGTCCACCGGTTCTAGTCACATCACTGTTTCACCTTCCGTTTGGACTTCTGCCCATCCAATCGGTCCAGAAACGCACCATTAATAGATTCCGCATCATTCTCCTCTACTTGAAAAGAACTCGTCCTCGAGTTAAAATCAGGATCTGGATATAACGGCTCTGTGGACTCATGAAACGGTGACAAATCAGCAACATTAAAAGTGTTGGATATGCCCATGCTATGTGGAAGGTCTATAACATAAGCATTATTGTTGATTTTCTTGCTGACAGCGTAAGGTCCATACTTCTTTGGCCGTAATTTACTGTAAGATCCAGCTGGTAATCGCTCTTTACGAAGAAAAACCATGACTTGATCACTTACCGCAAACACCTGCTTCGGCCGATGCTTATCTGCTGCAGCTTTATACTTCTGATTAGCTTCCTCCAGCTTCTGTTTGACTTCACGATGCACCTCCACAATCTGTTTAGCCA